TAGGTCAGAGCACTGCAGGTCATTGGTGGTTCTGGCCTATCCGTGTTTATTCCACCCTCTTCTGGTAACAGCACCCTGATATTAACACATAACCTCTGGGGACTCATCCTTCTCACACTCTCAGACCTTGTGACCTCACAGTTCTGCTCTAGAAGTGGACAAGTGCTCCTGTCCTGACCACACTCGGGTCTATTTCTGGCCACATTGTTGATGTAAAAGGAAGATATGTGACCCAAGCCTGACCAGGCAACCCAGGGCAGATGGCTGGAACAGAGGAAAGAGGAACTCTTCCCACGGAGTGAGTGCAGAGATTCGGGATGGAGCGTGGAGGAGAGGGGAACAGTGTGGGGAGCTGGTTCCTACACAGAACCGGCACGGGGGAGGTCAAAGGAAACCGCAGAACCTTTATTCAACCAATTATTCAAGCCAAGGAATTTCCTCTTCTTAAACCAGATCGAGTGGGTTCTTAATGCAGCTAAGAGCTCCCTAGATGAATACAACTGCTAATGGTTCCGCCAATTAGAAAAGGGAACAAAGAGAGGGCCAGCTCTGCCACCGAGTCCCGTAACTGTGGTGCCAACTCAGACGGGCTCCACTTCTGTGCCTTTCCCATTTTCTCCCCTGAGAGCATTCCACACACAGGCAATTCTCCTGGAGAGGCTGCCTCAAATCCCAAGGACAGGAGGGCGCTGGCTCCCGCGTTGCTTCCCGCCTCCTTGCGTCATTGTGTCTGTCGGGGGAGGGGGAGATTTCCTGTGAGTGCACTTAAATACCTTTAGAGCCATTTTTAGACTTTTTATTCTATAGACCAGAAAACTGCTGAAATTAGGAGATATTTGAAGTAGCTCTTCATCAAGCCCAGAAGAGATTTCTGCTGTCGCTATATTTAAAAGCCCAGCAGCAGGTTGTTGGGGCTCGTGTCTTGCCGTTATATAATAAACGTAACGTTAAGCTTTGGAAGCCTCGAACACTGGTGAGGAAGGAGGAAAACAGTGGCCTCACAGTGATAGTGCTCGGGAGATGCTTTTTGGAGGTTGGAGAGAAGATTATATAGTTTTCTGCATTCAATGGTATTAAAATAACAATGTGTGCCCCACAGCTTTGCATTACTATTTAAATCCCCAAAGAAACAGAAAGAATAAAAGAAAAGGAAGAACGAAGGTGGTGTATTCGCATAAAAGAGAAATGTAACCAACAGCCCAATAGAAGTTGTTTTTAATAAGAAAAAGGGACCCAAGAGATGTGGAGTGATCTATTTTAGAAAGGAAAATAGATTAGCTTTCTATGTGGTGTAAAACACTACCATAAACTTAATGGCTTAAAACAACACAAATTTATTTTCACAGAGACCCTGCTCAGGGTCTCATAAGGCTGAAAGCAAGGTATTGGCTGGGCTGGGGCCTTGTTTGAAATACAGGTTCCTCTTCCAAGCTCATGTGGCTTTTCACAGAATTCAGGTGCTTGCCATTTTATGACTGAGGTTCCCATTTTCTTGTTGACTGTTGCCAGGGACTGCTCTCGGGGACTAGAGGCCTCCAGTGTTTCCTCACCATGTGATCCCCTTTGTAGGCCCTCCCACAGCAGAGCTGTTGGCCCCTTCAAGCCTCAGGAAAATCCCTGTCACACTTCCAATTTCTCTGACTTCCATCGCTGACCTCTAGAGCCGCTTTTAAAGAGTTCACCTGATTAGGCCAGGCTCACCTATCTCAAGGGAGGGGGTGACTGACGCAGGGTGTGTGCATGCCAGAAATCTTGGGAGACCGCCTTAGAATTTTGTCTACCTCAGTAATCAAGCTTTGGTTCTGAAGCAGAAACCCAAAACATGTAACCCTAGTACACTACTACTATGGACTGAATGTTTATGTCTCACCAAAATTCATGTGTTGAAGCCTGAACCTCCAAAGTGATGGTATTTGGAGGTGGGGCGATTGAGAGGTGATTAAGTCTAGAAGAGGTCATGAGGGTGGTGCCCCCACAATGGGATTGGTGTCCTTATAAGAAGAGCAAGAGAGACCAGCGCTCTCTTTCCACATGTGAGAACGTAGCGAGGAGTCTCCAAGCCGGTAAGAAGGTTGTCCAGAAACTGAACCAGCTAGCACCTTGCTCTTGGATTTCCAGCCTGCAGAACTGTGAAAAAAAATGTGTTGTGTAAGCCAACCAATCTGTGGTATTTTCTTATAGCAGCCTGAGCTGGCTCAGACAGCTACACTATGGAAGGTCCCATTAATCTACGTCATCATGAACCTGGGGAAAACAGGCTGTTCAAAGGCTGAGAAACACCCAGTGTGTAGAGTTTTCCAATGATTGTGTTCTTCCCTGTACACCTCATTTGTTTATTCATTCAACGACTGAGCTCCAATTCTCTTCTTGCCACCCGAGCTTGACCCCAGGACCAGAACTAGGTGTGACCGGTGAGCACCTAGGGGACAGTATTTAAGGAGTTGCTCGTTTGCGTGACCCTGAGGGGCAGTGCTGCCGACATTTTGCACATCATACTTTATCCTAGTCCTGGCCCTTTTAGGCACAGAGGAAACAAAGTTGTTTTTGTTTTGTTTTGTTTGTTTTTTTAAAGATGATTTCTTCCTCAAGGCACACATACAGTTTAAGGAGGGAACAGGTCAAAACCAGAGAGCACCACTGTGTTTTTGGAACTCCAATGGCCAACTTCACAAGGGCACAAACTTTCCGCTAAAAAGCACAGTTGACTATAACGGAAAAAGTTAAGTGACTCCTTCTGACCCTTGATGATTCCATAAGTAAAGTTCTAGAGTCCTTTATAACACTGTTAAAATAACATTGGACACTAATAGAGACTCGACGCTCCATTTCATTGAATCATAACTGGTGAAATCTTTGCCACCTGTTGGTACAGTTTTCTCCATCCTGAGGAAAAGACCACGTTTCTTAGGGTACCCTCATATCCTGTTCCTCTCTCCCTGAAGTTTTCTCTCTCTATTTGCCACTGTAGCATCAGCGGGAGTGCTTGTGGAGAGAATTTCATGACTCCTTTTTTCCCTCAGTTCCATCTATGGAATCTAACTCACCATCCTGTAGGTTGTCCCAAATTTCCCTCCTCTGGCTGAGAATTCTGCCCAGGCTCTGTTCTGAGCACCCTCTGAGCCTTGATGATCCTCAGGCACAAAGACCAGCTGGATCCCTCTACCTCAGCCCCAAAGCAGAGCCCAGGAAAGGAGACCACCCCCCAAGGCCTCCTGCTTTGGATTCTTCTGATGAGACTTCTCCACTCACTATTCTCAGCTCACCCGCTGAGCAGGAAGACAGTCTTGGTGTTGCATTATCTGGTTCAGCATAAACTTTCTTAAGTAACTAAGAACAGACCTGAGTTGTATTTTCCAAGGCAGTTCTCTGTGCTAAATGCTTGACCAGGAAGAATGTTAGAGAACTAAGCTGACTAATTCCTCAAATTCAGTTACAGAAGGAACTTGAGGGATTTGACTTTGGGGGTCCCTGAGGTTGCCACAAGCTAGATCTGCATCTTCTAGAGTTCTTTGCATAACAACAGACCTATTGTGAGGACTTAACTTACCCTCACCCTCACGCCTGAAGCAAGTCACATGTTTACTTTCAGCACTAGAAGAAGGAGGGGCTGGGAGCAAAAAAATGAGAGGAATGCTAACCACAGCTAACCTAAGTCAGACTGCCAGGCTGGCTACTCACTAGGGCTCTTCTTACCCTCTGGGGACAGTGTGAACAAAAATCTGGATCTTTGCACCTTGTTCTGAATATTAAAGTTCTGATTCAAGGCTTAGTCACTCCTACTTTGATGCAATTATTTATTCATCCCTTTGCCGAGAAGGTGACTGAGTATGGACAACAAAGAACTGGAGACTGACCTTTTACCTCTGGGCTTTCAGAACTGAAAGAAGCTCATTAATTTCTCTCAACTTCAGTGTCCTCATCCAAGAAAGGGGTAATTACATTTGGCTCTCAGGATCTTTTTGGAGAATTAGAAATGATATACCTGGCACAATTCTTGGAAAGAAACTATTACCCCCTTAAGAAAGGGTTACTGCTGCTGTAACTGTTACCCCAGCCTCTGGGTATGTATTATTGACCTGGCTGTGAGTTTGAAAGCAGGTTGTATCTGTATTGCTGATGACAATTACAGTGCCTGACACAGAGGAAGTGCTCAATCACTGAATAAGTGTTGAGAGTCTGGAATTTGAGCAAAGGGCGGCAGCAACCAGAAAATAAGAGTCTGCATGCAATTACCTGCTCTATATCCTGGGTCAGTGGTACTCAATATTTTTGTTGTTGTTTGGAACACATCCGAAGGGAATGACATGCAGACGATGTGAGTCATCAATAATTGCAACTCAGTCTTTACTACTGAAGAACAATGTCTCTCAATATCTTTAAAGCAACCCCGGTGGTCCCACCATTGATTGGGACACCCCTCACACTGTGCTTCGGTGGGTAGAATGTTTACTGCCCTGACTTCCCCCACTAACATACACAGGAATTATCTCACATGTCCAACTATCCACCATGTTTCTTGGCCACTGGTTTGACAACACACCTTTTACTTTTGCCCAGCACTGCAAATTGCAGCCACGGTGTGTTGGCCTGCAGGCCTCAGGCAGGCACTTCAGCATTGCCCTCGGACTTCAGGATTTAGCTTTGCAGTTTCTATTTGTCAGTAATCCCAAAGGTCCTTGACATGTAGTCATTTGTGATTTTGTTAAGATAACCATTTAAAATATGTATTTATATACACACACACACACACACATATATACATGTATAAGTAGCACATGAATATATGCTATTGGAAATGCTCATACAATAGAGAGATATATAGAGGAAAATGTGTAGAAACATTCCTTTATTTGTATCAGTCAGGGTAGCCCACTTTATACTACAGTAACGACCCCACACACACATCTCAGCGGCTTATAGCAACACATATTTGTTTCTTGTTCACACTACATGCTTTTCACAAGTCGGCTACAGCTCTGCTTCTTGCCTCTTTCACTCAGGAACCAAAGCTGATGGGGGAACCTAACCTCTATGTGGAGTGTATCCGTCTCATGGGAGAAAGAAAGAGATAAGGCAAATGATGTCCTGACTTATAAAGCTTTGCGCAAAAGAGACCAACACCATTTCTTTGGTTAAACAAGTCATATGACCATTCCTAAGGTCAACAGCATGGGACTATGTCCTTATACAGAGAGGAAGACTGCAAGTAAAGACAATGGAACGTCTGTCAAATGAGAATTCATCTCCACAACCTCCTCCTTGGACGACTTCTCTCCCAAGGTAATTGCTCTCAACAGTTCAGTCTCCTTCCTTATTCGCAAATATATTTGCAAATATATACATAAATGCTTCCATATTTCTAGTTTATTAGTGAGCTTGGATATTGTTTCTATTTATTGGCTAATTTCACAATTAGCCTTTTGTGAATTGTCTGTTTCCATTCTTCACGCATTCTCGAGTGGTGGTTTTTTTCTTTCGCATTTGAATGAGTTATTTTATATGTTTTCTCAATATTAATCTTTTGCCTATTCTACCGGTCGTGAATACGAGCATCTCTCTTTTATCATCAGGAATCTTCCAAAACACTAGACATGGAGTGCAAATATGAACCAGCAGCCTCTTTCCTGTCAATTCATCATTACCAACCAATTTCCGAAAACACAGAAAAATGCCAGTATATTGAACAAACTATTTAGTATGTCAGATGCACAAAACATTACTCCCTGATGACCGAACAGTGAATTGATTTTCACAGACCTTTGCATGTGCGCAGCCACATAGCCTCTCTGAGCACCGTCCACATCCAACTCACATCACGTAGTTGACATTCTACGCTTTTCAAAACATCTGCATGTGATTTTGACTTTCCTCCAGTTCCATTTGGAAAGTAACTGGAGAATTCCTCCCCCCACCCCGCCCCATACACATGCTACTTTGTTTAAAATGTTATGTTGCGTTTGGGGGACGTACAAATGTATATCTCTGTGTGAACCTCGACCCCAAACATGGACTGAAGAGATGTGTATACTCCCTGCAGTCTGAGTGTTAAAGATGAGAGGAGTTCTACCGAGAAAAGATCGCCTGGGGAGGCAGCTAGGGAGGGGTAACTCTAGTTGTTTCCATTTTGGCCATTTTATTCTTAATTTTGTTTTTGGGAGGGTTTCCCCCCAGCTTTACTGAGATATAATTGACAGATAACATTGTGTAAGCTTAAGATGTACAATGTGATGATTTGATATATGTCAATATTGCAAAATGATCATTACGATAAGGTTAGTTGACAGATCCATTACCTTACATAATTATCGTGTGTGTGTGTGTGTGTGTGTGTGTGGAGAGAACATTTAAGATATACTCTGCAACTTTCAAGTGTACAATACAGTATTATAAACTATAGTCACTACGCTGTACATTAGATCCCCAGGACTTACTCATAACTGGAAGTTTGTACTTTTCGACTAACATCAACCCATTTCTCCCACCCCCAGCACCTGGAACCATCATTCTACTATCTATTTCTGAATTTGGCTTTTTAGGATTCCACATATCAAGTGCAATCATACAGTATTTGTCTTTCTCTGTCTGACTTATTTCACTTAGCATAATGCCCTCAAGGTTCACTCACGTTTTCTCAAATGGCAAGATTTCCTTCTTTTTTTTTCCTATGGCTGAGTAGTATTCGTGTGTGTGTGTGTGTGTGTGTGTGTGTGTGTGTGTGTGTGTGTATTCATTCATTCATCAATGGGCATATATGTTATTTCCAAGTCCTGGCTACTGTGAATAGTGCTGCAATGAACATGGGGTACAGATTATCTTTTGGAGATAGTAATTTCATTTCATTAATACTTCATATATACCCAGAAGTAGAACTGCTGGGTCATATGGTAGTTCTGTTTTTTAATTTTTTTGAGATACCTCCATACTGTTTTCATGACATCTTTTTAGTTGCAAAATTTGCCATTTTCATGTAATCAATTGTCAGTTATTTTGTTTATGGTTTTTGGATTTGTAATCTTGCCTTAAGAGACTATCAGGATTATTTCTAAAAAATTTTCCTATATATACACATATATTTTTAAACTATTAAACTATTTTAATAGTTTTGTTTTGTTTTAATTACAAAGGAGTTAATTATTGGATAAGGTATGAAGTGGGGTTGAGGGAGTTTAATTTATCTGAAACAGGTAGCTTATCAACCATATCCCCCCCACCAGACACACACACACACTCACTCACTCACACGCTTCTTACTGTCCCAAAGTAAATAGCTTCATCAACACCCTGGGGTAAGATTAGATGGCACATTAACACCAAAGGAGCAGCCTGGGCTGAGGAGACAATGCTGAAATCTGAATGAAGAATTTGGAAAATGCTGTAGCCAAGGAAGGGCCTTAGTGGCTGGCAATCTGGGCCAGGGATCTCCAGGCCATGGGCTGACCGCCAGCTGTCCAGTCGGTATCCTTCTCATTTCCTTAGAGGTGATTCCTTAGAGGGCTTCACCTTGGAAGCCAGAGCCCTGCGTGCCCCAGCCAGGGCTTCTCAAATTCTTCCTACTCAGCCACCCCTAGCTCCTGGAAGCTGCATCACTGGAGGGGCGTAGCCAGTCCCACCCCAGGCAAATGTGATAGTTCTCTGCCGTCTCCACCTTTATCTTTAAAACCGAAGCAAAGTTTATGTTCTATATCATATTTCTGTGCTTGTTTTGATAAAAAAAAATGTGTGTTTTTAATTTCAGGCCTAACCTTCCTTCTCCCTCCCCAGTAGAAAACCTAATACAGCTCTGGACTTCATAGCATTCATTACAATTGTAATTAATTCACATTTGCCCAATTATTCATTTGCTGTCTTTCCCATTAGACTGCAAGCTCCAGAAAGGCAGTGGCCATGTCTGTCTGCTCAGCGCATTCTCAGTGGGTTCGCCAGTGTCTGTCTGAGGCTATGGCTTTTATTGAGCCCTTTTAACCTTCTTAAAATAAGGCTGATGGGAATTCCAGTCCTCAGGCAGGTCAAGTGTCTGTGCTTCCTTTTACAAGCAGAAAGGCCCGGGCAGTGGCCTCACAAAGGGGTTATTGTTTACGAGTGGTCCAGGTGAGAGGCGCAATCCATCACCACTGAGGCCCAGCCCTGTCACAACTCTTGGCACCCTCCCAGTGACAGCAAGACAATGACATCACCTCCAACTATATACAAAGGACAGCTTATTCTGTAGAGCTCTCTAAGGAGAGTACTTTAAACTCATTCTTGCTGTATTAGGTATATAACATCATAACTCAGAGTTTCCCAGATTCAGTTCAAGGACATAGATGATTCAGTAGGTATTTGATTTATAAAAGTTCTCTCAAGTTTTCAATTTCTTCAGGAAATGGAAGCATTTTTTATTGAGGGTAGGAAAACAAGTCAATTTGGAAGAGGAGCTGATTTCTCAAGTAAGAAATTATAAATTATATCAATTTCTCTCACCTTTAGGTCTAATTCTCCCATCTCCCACAGATTTTCAGTGACAGCCCTTATCCTTATCATTCTTGATATCCATAGAGTACTATTCAGAAGATTTATTGGTTAAAAAATGCAAATTCCATAAAACAGCAAAGTGCTGTTTCTAAGTTTCACGCAAAGATGTGATTGAACAAACTAGTCAGCATTTGAAGACGATGCTAAAGAAAAATAGTGAGAAAGCTGAATGGTGGAATAATTATTACCATAATTGCTTACATTTATCGAATATTTGTTGTGTGGCAGATACGAGGCTGAGTTCTTTGCCTGAAGGAGCTTGCTTAATCCTCATGGCAACCATTTGTGGTAGGGAGACTTTTTATTGCCATTGCATAGATGAGGAAACTGATACTTGGAGAGCTTATATAACTCTCCAGCCTAGTAGAGAACAGAGCCAGAGCTCAGAGGCTGATTTATAAAATTCTGTGGTCCAGTATCTTACCATTGGCCATGAACAAGCAATGAGCATTTGTATTTGAGAAAGAAATAGCCTTCCAGCATGCTACATGCAAGTGCTAGCTGGCTTATGTTGTTTAAGCCAGGGCCTAATAGACTTGTTTCAATGAACAAATACATAAAAATCTGTTCTAAGTGGCTCATTTGATCTGTTAAGTGGTTTTGTTTTGTTTTTTTTTGTTTTTTTTTTTAGTGGCTCTGAGCCTGTTTCTTCCTCTGGAAAATGGGACCAAGAGGGTGACTGTGAGAATGAAATGAAATACTACATGCAATGAAATAATGCCTGACTAGAAGCAGGCATTAATAAATGTTAGCGATTATTAATAATAGATCATTGCCTCCCTTGACTTGAAGTAACACAACATTGGACACATAGTATCTGCTCGACCCACCCCTATGCAGGGTGGGTGATCAAAAATTTTTTGTTCCCTTAAAAATGTTAAGCGTTGCCTCTTCCATCCAACCCCACCACTGTTTAACAAACGAAATGGTTATAAGTGAGTTTGGCTCATTTTTAAATTCCAGCAAGATCCAAATCCCTGTCTGACTAGCGAAGTTCTGACTAGCAGTGCTCTTTTGAACTACGTGTTGACATTCACAGTCTCTGTTTAAGTTCTTTCTCTGATAGCAGCAGCCCTGGAGTTCCTTTCTGTCACTTTAGTGGGTTGGAGTTTTGTGGTTGTTTCATGCCACCTTTATGGAATACTCACTGCAGGCCATTTAAGAACAGTATGACGCTGCCCTGAAACCTTCCTGTCCCAACCTGGTCCACAACCATTCTCCATTTTGAAAAACATTTTCAATTCCCTGCAGTTCAGTGTGAGGCAGGAGAGGAGACGATATATTTCTTATTAATATATTAATAATCACTAGCATTTATTAATGCCTGCCTCTAGTCAGACATTATCTCGTTGCATGTAGCATCTCATTTCATTTTCACAGTCACCCTCTTGATCCCATTTTTCAGAGGAGGAAACAGGCTCAGCGAATGAGCCCCAGGGGTCACACAGCTAGCAGATTGGTGATCTAGGTTGGCTGCAGGTCTGACATCATAGTCTGAGATTCTAATCTCTATTCTTTAGTACTATTTCAGTGAGTTTGCGCCAGGAAGTTTAGAGATAGGGGCTAGTGGAATCCAGGAAGTTTCTATGGAGGAAGTGGAAGTCGAACTGGATTTTGAGGATTGTATTGGAAAGTTCAGAATTGCACTAGGAAGAACGTAGGGCAGAAAAACAAACAGAACAGGCTTTCTTGCTTCTGTTTTCTCTGTAGAGCAGTGGAGAAGATGAATTAGACCATTTCGTGGTTGGCATAACCAATTAATTTTAAAT